CTGAGATCATTCGTTTAAAACTCGAAATGCGCTTCCAATGTTTGGTTGCTCTTAGGAGACGTAAGACATACATGGCACCCTTCCTATAAATGCTCCAGCAACTTCCAGCAGTATATATTGCTTCATGGAATCCATCCAGGAGGGTTTACAAGGAAGTTGGGAACTAATTTCATAAATATATAAGGTGTATTATTTGGAGATCACAAAGGCAAATGAATTGGAACGTTGGTTTTGGTCCTCAAAATGGTGTCTGCCACACTTTGGTGCTAGCATGTTTGTTTGACACAAGCTACAAGAAGAAAGCTTACTGCCACACCCTTTATAGTAGCGATTGTTGTCAGGGAAAAAGAGCTTGTTTTCTGTGAAAGAAACATGCTTAACATAACCCATAACATAAAGGCATTCGAAACGGGGCCTTGCCTCATCTTTATGATATATATATATATATATTAAGGACAAACCAAGTCAAACCCCATGTGCAAGTACTCCTCTACAATGAAAAATAGCCATCTCCTGGAATTTGCTCAAGGACTTCTACTGGGAATCAAAAATGGGAAAAAAAATTAAAAAAAAAGAGATGCTATAGTAGGAGGGCCTTGTCACATATTATAGTTCATGATACTATATACTTTCATTTCTGATTTTCAAGTGTTTTTTTCTTGGAATCCTGGATTTATCAACTTTAAGGTCATATACCCTTGGGCTCATGGTTTCCTTGCTCTCTTTTTCTATATTTCCAAAAATTACTGTAGTCTATTAATTGTTGTTTGTACATTATTTTGGAAGTTAAGCAACAAGTTTACATGCAGAGTTTGATGCAATTATATCTGTTAGCTCTCTAGAGAAACTTTTCTTATTCTCTGTTATATTGTTGCAATCAAATTCTAATCTACTGGTAAATTGACTATTAAAAAGTTTTATGCCCAAGCTCACTAGTTGAAAGGTAGCAACTCCAGGTATGTACATGGATTTTGTATTTTATCCAACACACAAACACATGGGGCCCTTGTCTGATTCAAGACTTCCAAAATAAGTCTTGAAAAATATCCACAAGGCTCATCCCATAATGTTTGAGTTTTGTTTTTCCTTCCCATTTCCACCAGAGTTTTAACCTAAGAAAAGTTTAAGCTAATTCAAATCTCAAACATACGCTGATAGAAAAATTTTTATGAAAAGGAAAAAAAGGTTTTCATCCATGTTTAGTTCACTTATTTCTCAAATTAAAAGTTGTGTTCTTCTGGTTTAATAGCATTGGTGCTCAAATTGTAAAAAATGTCTGCATTGCTTTTCACAACTGCTGCAACAAACATAACATTGAAGCGAAATCGTTATACTCAATCTAATATTAATCATCTTGTCATTTGTTCTTGAAATCAGCCTTGTTAAATCACTTGAGGATCTAAACAAGTATTTTAAGTTCTGATAAGGAGTGTTGGGTGCATGTAGGTACTTGGGATGTGTTCAACAATTAAAATTTCCAGCGTGAAAGACAAGAATGAAGTTGCCCTATGTATCAAAGATGTGAGTGCTCCCAGATTTTATCTATCGATGACATCTATCAGGGCCCTAATTCTTTTGTGAGGAAGCACATAGAAAAGAATCACTTCGAAACTTTTTATTAATCTTAAAAATCTAAAGAAATTGAAGTTCCAACTAATCGAGGGGGAATATGAGGAAACCATACTAGCAACAGATGCATTATGTGATCTAGATAAACAGTATAAGCGAGGACATAAAGATGCAAAATAAGACTCTCCCGGCCAAACATCTTCCCAAAATCGAATTTTTTCTTCATTACCAACAACATATTTTACATTATGTAAGAAACGGAATAATATTTGTAAAATGAATTTCACAAAGGACAATGAGAGCACGGTGGTTCACTCACATTAGAATTCCAACCATCATCTTGAATCTTGTATTTGCTTTTGATCATAGAATGTCATAAACTATCATGCTCTATGAAAATCTCCAAAGTCATTTACCAAATAAGGAGATATTTCTAACTTTGAGATTTCTCAATACAAGGCCACCCTTACTTTTGGATCGAATCACCATATCCCAATTAACTAAATAATTTTTTTTACCTTCTCCACTATCCTCCCAAAAACAATATGTTATGTGCACATTTTTAATATATTTTTATGTAACATTTAAGGTAATTATTAGGGAGTTATTTTAGTAAGTAAGTCAGTGATAGAGTATTTTATGAGTAGTTTTCTAAGTGGTTACTAAGATAATAGAGTCATGGGTCAAATTAGTTATTAAGGTAGTTTTATTATCTTGTATTTAAAGATCTTCCTATCAATGAAATGAATATTATGAATATTATATTGAACTTTCTTGTAAAGTTTTAGAGATAGGTTTTTCTTGAATTGAACCATTGGAGGTTTCCGCCCCCCTCGAAGCGGGTTTTCTTTCTCGATTCTATTTTTGTTTATTTTATAAATTCCTCAAAATTGTGCACGTAACACAATCCCTCATCATTTTCTCAATCGTTCTAACAACCTATGGGGCATTATGAACAAGGACATGTAACAAATGGGAATGCTCACAAGCACAAAGTGAATTAAAACAAGTCTACCCCCACCCTTGATGAATAAGATTCTTTTTACCCATCAAGTCTTTTTCCAATCGTATGAATCACGGGCTCCCAAAAACTAAGGGTCTTTGGCTTATCTCGTAAAGGAATACCCAAATACTTTAGGGGAGAATTACACCTAGACCCCCCTGAGATTTGTTACTTAATCACTCAGACCCCCTGATATTTAAAATATTATATACAGACCTCCTGAGGTTTATACGCGCATAACACTTAGACCCTTTAAAGTTTGTAGGTATATAATACTTAGACCCCTAAGTTTAAAATATTATATTTAGACCAAAAATACTCTAATTAAGATAAAATATCAAATATTTTAAATTTTATAACCAAAATTCATGTTTTATTGTATCATTTATTGAAATAAAATCAAAAATAAAAATTCAAATTTTTTCTTAAAAAATCATAATTAGTATACAATTATATTGTCTATTAGAATTTAATTTAGTCGTTTAAACAACCAAATTAAATATCAAACTACCTCAATTAAAGCTAAAAGATATTGCGTTCATTACAGTTTGACCACTTGTTTAATTTTTTAATTTTATTCTAATAGATAGTATATAATTATATACTAACTATGATTTTTTTTTAAAAAAACTAGACTTTTATTTTGATTTTATTTCAATAAATAAAATAATATAACATGAATTTTATATCTAAAATTTATGTTCTATTATGAATGACTTAGACCCGTTGTTTGATTTTTTTTGTTTTATTCCAATAGATTGTATAATTGTATACTAATTACGATTTTTTAAGAAAAAAATAAATTTTTAATTTTAATTTTATTTCAATAAATGATACAATAAAACATGAATTTTAATTGTAAAATTTAAAATATTTTATATTTGATTGTAGTATTTTTTGTCTAAATATAATATTTTAAACTTAAAGAGTTTAAGTATTATACACCTACAAACTTTATAAGGGTCTAAGTGTAATTTATTAATAGATATATTTAGAACAGAGGTCTAAGTGTTACGCAGGTACAAACCTCAGAAAGTTTGTGTGTAATATTTCAATGAGTGATTAAGTGACAAACCTCAAGAGGTCTAAGTGTAATTCTCCCATACTTTAGAGGTCAATCTACAAACAGCACAACCTAAAGCATTTCCCACTGTAACCAATTATCTTGGTACATTGATTCCAACAATTGCGCTTTTTGACAAATTAACTTCAAGACTTGATAATAATTCGAAACATTTCAACACAAGGGTAATTAAGTGAATATACCCTTTCTTTTCTTCACAAAAGAAAATATCATCTGCAAATTTTAAGTGTGTCGCCTCCACTTCTTCCCGGCCAAAATTAAAACCCTTAATGACCTCCTTACTTGTAGGCCTCTCCATCATCCTACTCAAACATCAACCACCAAAATAAAGAGGAAAGATGAGAGGGGGGTTATCCTTGCCTAAGACGTCAAATAACTCTAAAACATCCTTATGAAACTCTATTAATAAAAAACCTATCTAGTGCATGTGGCTCCTGTCATTGCGAGTTCTAGAGAAAGTTAGATGTACGCAGTCTTACCTTACATTAGAGAGGTGGTTTCAGCGACTTGAACCTGTGACCTCAAGGTCACAATGAAACATCGTTGTCATTCTACTAAGACTCACATTTCCTCTGTTTGCAAATGTTGTCATAATCCATTTCCTCAATCTCAAACCAAAACCTTTCCTACTCAACACTTTCTCCAAAAAATTCTAATCCACCATATCGTAAGCTATTTCAAAATCAAACTTGAACACAAAACCTTTCTATTGCTTTTCCTTATAGTCCTCAACAATCTCATTTGCAACCAAAACCCAATTCAAAATTTGTCTTCCTCTCACAAATGCACCTTAGGAACAAGAAATAGTCTATGTAAAATTTCTAGAATTTTCCTAGAGACAACTTTGGCCACAACTTTTGCAAATACTATAAACTAAGCTAATTGCCCGAAAGTCTTCAATCAAAGAAGACCTCTGTTTATTCAAAAGAAGATAAATATGGTTGCATTAGTGCAAGAATTAACGAACACCATTCTCATAAAACTCCTCAAAAACTTTCATGAAGTCTCCTTTCAACACATCCCAACACCTTTGAAAACAAGAATAGTGAAATCATTCCAGACCAGAGATTTATCTCCACTTAGCTCAACGATTGTAAATTTAACTTCATCTCAACCTATCTGAAAGTATTCTCACTGATAGGACACCAATCTAAACCTTCAATACAAGGTCTATTCCATAACCACTGAACCTCGTGAAAACAAGCTCAACAAAGCATAGTTTTTGCTATTTACACTAGCTCATAAAATAATAGGAGATACTCGACTATTAGATATATTTATAACTATAGGAGAATATGTCAAATACTCATTTTGTGATGTCCTTAACATGTCTCGAAGTTAACATCAATGTTGCTTGAAACTTTTAGGTGCTTGCCTAGGCATCAAGGCGAAGTGAGGACTGCATTTAGTAGCTCCAAACTCCTCATGCAAGGCAAGTTCAATATAGACGCCTAAGTTGAGGCACACAAGGAGAATAACATACACAAGAAAATTGAATTAAACAAGAATCTGAGGCATCTAAACACCTCCTTCCCCTCCCCTCTCCTATATCTTCCCTCTTAGTATTAACAAATACAAAACTATAGGGTGCTTCACCTTATGCTTTGTTTTTCCTCACTCATATCAACGAGGATTATTGTAATGGCCACTATATTGCACAACATAGAATAAATGGACTTTAATAGCTAATCTATTTACTAAGTTAATTTAAAAGTTAGTGCCCTGCTTCCCCAAAAGGTGAGCCTTTTGTCACATTATGCCTTGGGCAATATAAGATCTTATTGCCTTGAAGGCCCTACTAGCCCCTAAGCTATGCTAATGAACCCACTAAAGAAAGCCAGGGGCCTAGATTGATTTCTAGAATGCTAATGCCATCATTGGCTTATTTTCCTCATGCATAGAATATTAACGACATCACGAACAATAACAGTTGCATAGGAACTTTTATCTAATTTGAATGGAGAGTAAAATAAAGATAGTTTCAAGTACCTTGGATGTTTCTTCGGTTTGAATCATTGGATCTGAGATAAGATACGTCACCCCCGTCTAATTTTAATCTATCAACCTTCGCAAACTGGTCCAACATATGACCGATGAGACGAAAGGCAACCATACTAGTCTCATCACTGGCTTCTTGAATGGCAAGATATTCGTTTCTACTAAAGTTTTTCTTATTATGCACAACGTCACCACACGAGAATACAGGAGAAATGAACTGTGAGAGATCTACAGTGTCAATTTTAGGTTCTTGTCTCTTTGGGAAAGAACCACTACGATTAGCTACAAATGCAAGTGAATGAGAATCTATCGATCCAACCTTCCCCGAAGTTCCTAATTGGGAATGGTTTTTATCGATATATTGTGAATTGTCTATTTTGGTCTCCCAACATGAAGAGGAAGACGCATAGCAATCCACTGAATCAGTGCCATTCATGTTCACAGACTCAAGTTTGCTGTTTAACTCTCGGTTGGGTGAAAGAACTGAGGAAGAACCATCTCTTTTAGTTAAGGAGACAGGTGATCTGAAATTAGTTGGACTGGTCTCTTCAATACTTTCTCCATGGTCATTTGAATCACTGGAATGAAAATTACTACTCTGCAGGAGTTCTACTGGCTTCTTATCCTCATTCCAACTACCACCGTCATCACTTTCTTCTAGCTTTTCCATATATGCATCCGCAAAATCTTGGTCAAACTCAAGTTCAGGAACCAAGTCCAAAACAATCTGCCTTATCTGAGCACTCGCACTCAATACACATTCCAACTCTTCCTGTATTCCGTCTTTTAAGCAGGATATCCCAGATGAACTTTGCGAACTTCTATTGATAAAAGTGAGAGTTTGTGCTAAGCATTCTGGTATAGTGTCCATCTCACTGCACTCAAAAAGGTATTCAGTCAAAAGATTCCTTACTGCCATCCGTAAACTCCTGCCTGATAATTCAGAATTAGGATCTAGCAAAAGCTGCAATTTCTTCAGCTCTGTAAATCTCAACTTTTCGAGTAGCCAAATGGCCTTTCCAATATCATTCTGCAACGCTTCCACTTCCGGTGAAAAGTCTCGAAATTCTGTTACAGAGGGACATTCTAATATTTGCTTAAACGTTATGCCTGCAACTGCCATTGCTTTGGCTAATGGTTCCTGTAGCTGATCCCCTTCACCAAGTTCTGACAGCATCTTCATACATCTTTTCCTCACTTTATCTATTAAAAGGGTTCTAGCCCATCCAGATTTTTTGCGGGGCTGTATTTGAGGCACATCACCTTTAATACATCTGAGCTTCCTGTGCATTGCACTCAGGGTCCTAAAAGGTAAGTCCTCAAGTCCATTAAGTACCTTGATAGCAGCAACATGAGAAGATTGAGATGATGGAGCTGGTAGTATAGCATGATTTCGGCGGAAATTGTGCGGGTCCCTGAGAAGTTGAGATAGCTGTTTCATAGTATCCATGTGGTGCTTACCATTTTGGCTCCTCAGCTTTTTTGGAAGACATTCTTTAATGATCTGTTTCATCTTCCAACGAGTTTTGTCGAACTTAGTTAAGCCACCTGTCAGTATCTCCACAAAATGGCAAAGCCCTTTGTTGGTCATGTCATCAAGCAGGGAAAAAAGATTTTGTAAATCCTTGGGCAAATCAGAGGGTTGCATATCATCTTGAACCATATCATGTTTCCTGTCAGCGTTACACACTCCAAATCCCTTCTCAACAAAACTTTTGATGGTCTCATAGTTTACCTGAAACAGATACAGAGAAAAATCATCATCTGAAAATAACGAAACAGTACAAGGAAGAAAATAGGACTTCATTAGCAATCCGCACATGCAAACGGTGCAATCAGAAATGAAACCACATCAAACTCAAGCTTTTGCCATTTTCAAAAACCATACAAATAAACTGCAACCTATTACTTATATCTCACAAGAAAAGAATAAGAATTAGACTGCACGAGTGTTGGTGGCTCCTACATGCCATCAAGAGATAACACAGCCATTTATTATAATTTATACTACATAAGCACCATCACAAACTCCATACATGGGCAAACTATGCAACATATATAGGAGAATGGCCAGAAAGGATACCACATCTGTTGTCAGCACATTTTATGATTGAAACCAAATAAAAACACCATCAAAATCAACAGAATTCAGCTTATGCCCATTACACAAAAATTCACGCGTTCAATTATAGAAAAAGTAATAGCAATATTCACTTAGCTAGCAATTTAAACATGGTCCAAACCAATATTACTTGGATCGTGGATCTCTTTTGTTTTTGGTATGTTTACGGGTACGCAATACGACACTTTTTTAAGTACACAATACGATGGGCGTAGGTAGCTGGTTTGGTATTTTGGGTCGCAATTCATTTTAGAACTCTTATCTAGATTATTTTCGCTATTATGTAATATTATATAATAAAAAACATCCATAAACACTAAGTCACTATTCCAAAACGAATTATAAATATATATATACGTAGTCAATTAATATGTATTTTATATTTGTACTATATGTTCCAAAACAAATTATAAATATATACACGTAGTCAATTAATATGTATTTTATATTTGTGCTACATGTTCCAAAACGAATTTTAAATATATACACTTAGTCAATTAATATGTATTTTATATTTGTGCTACATGTTCCAAAACGAATTATTTAGGGTTAGTATTATAATTTGAGGTCGTACATTCTGGTGATCTGGATTGCAAACCCACGCCTCGTCGATCATAAGGGGTTTAGCGAATTCTAGTAACTACGGTCCAAACTATGGCTAGTCTAGGTTTATTCATTAATTGAAAAAGTTTGAACAAGCCAATGAGCAAAGCCAACATGAAAAACTTGGTGCCCTGCCAACCCTGAAAGCCACCTCACCCATTATAGAGATCATTGGAGAAATGGTTATGCATTTCCTCACATGTTCATTAAGCCAAAAATATTTTGGCTACACTCGCGAGGGACCATCAATTTCAGGGAAAATATTACAACAAAACAAGTTACTAAGAAAAAAAAATAGGATACAAGAAGCTCAAAAGGAAGGTCAAAGTAAGTAGCACACAAAGAATGGCAAACCTCAAATTGAGAAACAGAAGGTATTTGTAATTTTTTATTAAAAGGGAATAAAGGAAGAGAAAGTTGAGTTTCAAAAAAAATCAGTAATATTGGTAATAGGCTGTCTTTTCATTTGGACATTTTCGTGTAATTAAAATCTGCATTTTTGTAAGAGCATCTTACCTCAACATCCACTCAACAGAGTTAACAGCCATATCTTTTTCCAATAGGAAACAAAACTTGCATTCCATAGGGAGAGAAAATGTACAAAAACATCCAAAAAGCATAAAGATACAAAAATACTTTTTTAAAGATGCTCACACTTGCTGTCTGGGAAAAAGGAGATTAGGCAGGGAAGAGACTTAGGTTGTTTGGTTGTTATGGGGGTTTTGTTGTTGGTTTGTGTGTGTCTTGTTTTTTTTTTTTTTTTTTGGGGGGAGTAAAAAAGAATCATCTGAAAAGATTTCCTAAGGGAATCCTTCTACTGCATACACTATCTCTGAGGTGAGTTCTGATTGCGTCGCCTAAATGAAAGCAAAAAAGAATCTTACAGGTCAAAGGCAATACAAAGCAAAAGTGGAAAACTTGCATCAAACAAGTAGAGAATATTGTTAGTGACCCTAGAAGAGATGGAAGCAGTTTGTTGAAGGTCAAAACCTTTGCAAATCCACAGTGTATTTGTCACCCTTTCAGGTTTGGACCACTAATTTAATTAGAACAAGTTCACCCATTACACTTGAATCTAGTAACAAAGTTTTGAAAAAAATAAAACAAAAAAGAGAGTTACATATACCAATAAAAATCATCCACCATTACAATTTACATCCACATTTACGGGCCTAAGTTAAGAAGTTGAAATTTTGCTAAATTTAGGAATGAGTCAGTGATGAAGACCGCAAATGCATCAGGCCAGTTAATGACCTATATTCAGATTTTAGTTTTAGTCTAATGAATGATCTACCTATAGGTCTGACATTGCAAAAATATTGCCTAGATTGTCCACTAAACCTATTAAATGCTGGATTTTCTTGTGGCAAGTGTGCTTATGGTTTCGACTAATTAAGAGGTGAGTGACGGAGAAATGGTCACAAAAAGTTGGACTACATATGAAAAGTTTAGAAGTTGTAATGGGGCTTGTTCAGGACACATGTATATAATGCGCTTTAAGATAAGAAGAACAAGTACAATAGGAGAAGAGATGTTAGACCCTAGCATGGGATCGCCAAGTTTACACGATGAAAATCAAAGTCTGAATTATCATTCAGCCCACTAAACAAGTTTTTAAAAAAAGCAAACGTACACAAAACAACACTTTAGAAACCAGAACAACTTGGTGCAAGTAAACTACTACCCATGTGGCCTTGGGGCCTATGATCAACTTTAAAGACAAACTTTTCTTTGAACTCATTCTCCTGACTCCCAACTTCAGTTAACACTCGGCCTCAAGTTTTATAACATTGTAGCTTAATTTATATTTGATAAGAACCAAAATTTTAATAAAATTTAATAAAGAAGTACATTTTCTGAGAAAAGGAAAACAAGTTGTCCAACACAAACACAAACAAAACCTAGAACATTGCAAAACACCACAAAACACTTATGAGCACATTATAATCCGAACAATGTTGTCCAACTCACACTAACGCAAAAAAAGAAGAATATTTTCAAAGTCCTTAGATATGGAGGTCCAAAATGAAGCTATAAAATAGATCTGATCCGACAATCCTTCTAGCACCTCACACTTATCCTTACAAATTCTCGAAATTGTTTTCAACTAAACAACCCAAACAATGACTAGAAAAGTACATTGCTAAAGAGTAATTTTCACGTATCTCCTCAGAAGTGTCAACATCCAAACAAAAACACAGATGAACCAAGAGGAAGAATACAAGGGAGCCCATCTAAGGATCGACTTTTTTTTTTGTCTCCACTGCAATAGAAACGTCATGATTTATCATGAAAACTGATTCGAATCAATGGTTAAGTATTAAAATTCTTATGTTTCAAGGTATTTCAGAATTATTAAAACACCATTTACTCTAAAAGTTTAAGTTGATAGCTAGAGTGTAACTTAAGTATTTATACTTTAACATGTCCTCTAACACGCTGACTAGATTTTCAAGCTAGCATGGAAAAATCTTTTAATAAACATGGTGGCGACGAGATTCAAACAAAAAAACTCCTACTATGATACCATGTTAAATTGACTCTGCTCTAAAAGCTTAACTTGTTAGAGAAGACGTAAGTTTGAGTATTTATACTTTAATATGAATGATTCGAGGTGTTTTCAATATGTTTCGATCAATAATTCAAAATGTTTTGAGAAAGAAATATTTAATTTTTTTTGTCTATTGTTTGAAATTTTTTTGTAAGTTTTTCAAGCGTTTATGTTTTCGAGCTAATCGAAACTATGCAAAAAAATGAAATTTTGATCTTTAAAGTCCACCATTTCATTTATTGGGAATACAAATTGAACTTCCCACACCAATCATTTGTGCAAATTGACAATTTTTCGTTTGTTTCATTAGCGTTGGCTTGGTGTTCATCTTCCTCTCATGTGCTCTCCTCAAAAAACAATAACAACAACTACAAGCTTCATTTCCTCGACATTGATATGTTGTGTATCTTCAAGAGGTCATATATGATATATTGAAGATGAAGTTTGTGTAAGCTACAAGGATTCCAACTATTTAGTAGTGGTTTCTCAATGGGTCCTCGTCTAAACCAAGAATCAAAATTTTTTTAAGGGGACCTTCTTTCGTCCAAAGTTACATTGACACTAAATACTTCATTTTTTAATAAAACAAAGGAAACTCACTGTTGATGACAATGCACATAAGAGGGAAAGAGAAAACTTGGGCCTTGAGTATAGGATCTTTCAACTCTAATACACAATCTTCTGAAAAATAAGTTGGTTTTGTGGTGGGCATAAGTTATGAAAAGCTTGTTGATTAATGTTACCAAGAAATGAACAGTGGTGGTAGGCTCTGGAATGCAAAATAGGGTGAAATTGGCTTGATTTAGGAAAAGAAATTACAGAGAAGTAGTTGATGGAATTTTTTTCGAGCAAGTATGCTCATGATTTGAGTGTTCAATAAGAGGTTGAATCATAGGGAATGTTAAGGAGGAGTTTGGAACCTGAATCATTGTTCAAGTTCGGGTTATCGACCCTTCATTCGCACGGGATGGGTCAATACACATAAGATGCTAGACATAAGGCCCAAAAAATTCTATAAAAATAAGGAAAAATTCTAAAAAAAATATAAACAATAACATTCATTCATCATATGTCCAAAATGCATAATCGACACATTAAAGATAATGAAAATAAAATAAATTAGAGTGCTAACATAAATATTTATGGAACATGATAATCTTTACATTTTGTGGCACAGGCCTAATTAAATGCTAATTAATACGTATGTCAAATTATTATATGTTCAAGTACACATGAGAAAAAAGCTTAATAAAACATATTAATTCTGTATGATTAAGCCTTAAGTATTTGATCAATATAGATATATTATAATTACGCATTGCTGCTACACGACAACAACAAATTCATGACGTTTCGATCTCACAGAAGCTCTCTATATAACCACTGTGTTTTAGCAAGATTACAATTGCATACTAGAAATACTTACATCATCCTCCCTAAGTAGCGATTCAGGTATTGTCCTGCACATACAAAACTAATAACCATGAGTTGTATATTAAGTACATCATAATATCTCAAGTGAAAATTGACAAGAAAAAGGACCAAACCAACTCAACTATCCAGACAAATGACCTAATGCTCATCTTTCTCCACAATAGTGTGTCATGAACTGGCAAAACAGTGAAAGCGTTGATAACTAATTTCTGAATTGCCCTATGACATTGGCTTATGTAATAATTTGTTTAACATGGTAATTTTGAGGTGGGTGATTCTCGG